AAATAAAAAAGAGCTTACATGTGTACATTTGTGATGTTGTTGTTTTTTTATTGTACCTTGAGATTCATAATAGCCCAGGCCATAACAACAAACAGACACCAGCCAGTAGCGGCAATAAAAACCAAAATGACACTTGACAAAACAGAAGAAGAAGCAGACAACGGAATAAACAAGATATGGGACCCATATTGGGTGGCCATCAAAAAAAAAAAAAAGATGTGGTGACGCCGCCAAGGAGTTGACGTAATAGCAATTGAAATGAAACAAAAAAGGACACTAGCAAAAAAAATCTACAACGACAAAAAAATACCAGGAAGAGCCAAAAATGAAATGCATTTTTTGTGTAGGCCCCCACCTTGGCCAAGCAATGTGTTACATGGGCAACAACATACCAAATAAGGAGTTCCCCACCAAAATAAAAATTCACAACTAAAAAATCTGTTACCAGGTCCTTACAAAAAAATCAAAGAATGAAACGCCATGGCATATGAAATTAGCAATGACACAAAAAAGCCATTGTATTCCGCAATGCCTTTAAGGCAAATAGCCAACTTGAACAAACCCAACAAACCGAGTGGGTTAAGGTTACCTCCAACCAGTTTTGCTGACAACGAACAAGGACAATTTAATCAAAAAAATTTAAGGAAACAACAACAAAAACAATTAACAATTCCCTGTGCTTTAAGGTTCCTCTTTTTCCTGCATACCATGATCTGATCTGATTAATAGCCAGATATATTTCCTTAAAGAGATTTCTTGCACTACACTTCTGCACACTTTGATTGACAGTTGTACATATGTCCATCAACACACCAAAAGCAAAAGTTGTCATGTCAGGCAAGTAACTTTCCTGATGAAGATGACTAATACTCACATACATACAGACAGACATGATCTACATACCTTTGTTCTTTCGTCCTTGTTTTTCTGAATAGAATTTTTAATGAGTTTTTAAAGACGTCTCCATATCCTTTTTTTTCCATGTGCGAGCCCAAGTAAATGCTTGAACACTTTTCGATTTTCGTTTATTTATTTTAGGTTAGTTTACAAGTTTTTTTTTTTTTGTTTTGTAGTTATTGTTTTAACATAACAAAGGAACCAAGAATCAATACATGAACAAATCAAGTAAAGCTTCTTGTGAATCTTTCAGACGCAATGTGTTAATATCGTATATTCGATTTGACAGCCTGGCAGACATATGTTTTAAAAATCGTTTTTGCAAAATGAGAACGAGACCTTGAATGACTATCTGACTGACTGGGATTAACAAAAAAATGTACTGCAAACTTCACACATGTTTAACATCCACAATAGAAGATAAGAAACAGAAAAAAAAACGCTGAAGATGAGAGAACCAAAAACCAAGGGAGGACCCTTAGTATGAAACAATGACTTTGAAACGGATAAAAGAAATAGTTTGCAATGATTCTATAGAAAGCGGAACATTGTTGGAAATTAACAAAGAAAGAGTGAAAAATACATATATTTTATCTGCATGATTGGGTGCCATTTAAAAATCTCTCTTCTATTTGCTTCCTTTATTAACTAGATCAGAAGAAAATTCCAAAACATATTTACAAATTGATTTTTTTATTTCCCAAAAACTCAAGTGTTATTATAAAGTGATATATTATAATAACCACGTTGGGCGCCAATTAAAAAAATCCACTATTTATGTTTACATTTTACTCTGGTTTAAAATAACATCATTCATTCTTCAAATACGAACAAATTATTTCAAATTTGTAGATAAAACAATATATTTTCAATGTTTCAGCTTGGGCGCCAATTTAAAAAAAAAATCCATTATTTATGTTAGCTTGGTCGCCAATTTCCAATTTGCCCTAATTTAATTAATATTTGATCGATTTTGTGTGGTAATAATAAATAAAAAAGGAAATTTTGTTAAATTGTGAAAATTTTTCTCTTTGCCTCAGCTTGGGCGCCAATTAAATTTTTTCTTCATTTATTGAATATTTTCAATCAATTATTATTTTTTTGCCTTAGTATTAAACATAATAGGTAATTTTTGTTAATTCGAAAAAAATTTATTGTACTCCAGCTTGGGCGCCAATTTAAATTCTAACAATATTTAGTCTCGAAATCAATTATTTATCATATTTTTATGGTAATATGGGAATAAATCGACAAAACGCAACATATATTTATCTGAATGATTGAGCGCCATTTTAAACCCCTATTCCAAATGCATCCTATATGGATTAGATCAGAAGAAAATTCCATAAGTTCAATATTAAATGAAAATGAATTTTTATTAAATTATGAAATTTGCCTTTTTGCTCCAGCTTGGGCGCCAATTAAACATTTTGATTCATTTGTTGAATATAAATAATAGGTAATAATAGTAATTTAATAATATAAAATAATAGGTAATTTAAGTGAATTAACAATTTTTTATTATACTCCACGTTGGGCGCCAATTTAAATTCTAACAATATTTAGTCTCGAAATCAATTATTTATTATATTTTTTATTAATATAAGAAATAAATGCTATTATCGTAACTTTTACAATTTTTTTTTTTTGGCCTCAGCTTGGGCGCCAATACAAAGTTTACCCTATTTATCGGATATTTTTAGTTTACTAAAGGCATACAAATCTTGGGCGCCAATCATTTTTTTATTTTGTATTTTTAATTTGAATATTTTTTCCCGAGCTTGAATTTCATTAAACCCCAACTGAATTGCTTTCCAATTTCAAAAACGCTTCGAATATTCTTTGTCAGCAGAACATTGGTGAGACATCGCTACGCCACGAATGTCATCATCTTTATTTTTAGCTAATCTTGTATCGCCGTGTAATAAATTTAAAACTTAATCATGATTTACATGTCTCTATCGCACTCCCTTCCCCACTCTCCCTTCCCCTTACCCTCCACTCTTTCTCTTTATTTTTCAACACCTACAAAAGATAAACAATAATTACAAGCGATCATAGCATTTTTTGCCGAACACAAACTCCCACCACTTTGAATACAAAGCGAGCGAGTGGTGGTGGTGAATAAGCGTGCCAGCTGGCTTTATTTACCATATAAGGAACTCCCAAGCCAAACCAAGTCGAGTCGAGTTTGCGTTGTGTTGTGTCTTTTTGGTAATATAATTATTTTGCCGATTTTATGCCGAATTCAATGTCAAAACAACTTGACTGACTACCACAACAAGCGAACGATAAAACAAACTCAACGCCACGCTAATCTCAATGATGAATCAGTTTTTGAAAATTGTTTTTATTTTGAATTTTTGCTTTTCGAACAGCAACAACGCCAATATGCTTAATTGTGGCTTAAAAGATAATTGTTTTGGTAATAAGCAAGAAACTCAAAGTAACACCATTTATGTGGGTTAAGTATGAGGTATTAGTGGTAGTTGGTTTTAATGATAGGTTTTCAATTTCCAAAAATAAATAAAATTTCAGTTTGGTTTTTTGGTTATACGACTAAAGAAGGTAGCATTATAGCCAAAACAATTAATCCGCTTTGTTGTCAATTGGGGTTTAATTTTTTTCTGATAAGTAAATATGCGCATTAGTTGCTTATATGGTAAATGGTACAAATATCGGTTTAATGGCCTGATTTGTGGTTTGGACAGCTCTGTGAAATAATTCCAAAAACTTTTGATACTAATTGTCATTTATTTGGAAGAAATTGTAGATAAAAATTGTTGTTATAATTTCAAATTTGAGATTTTTCATCAGGCTTACGTTGGGCGCCACTTTAAAAATATTAAATATGCAATTTTTTTTAAGTTCGGTGTTCTGATTCTGCGGATATTGTAGTTAAAAATGTTCCTAATGATTATTTTTATATTAAAAAAAAATTTTGATTTTTTTGCTCAACCATCTATTGGGCGCCACTTTACCAAAGTTATAAAATATGTGATTTTTTAATGTCTATGTTCCCTGCCTACGTTGGGCGCCACTTCACCTACTTTGGGCGCCACTTCAATAAATAACTAATATACATTTTTTTCATTTTGGTATTCCGATTTTGCAGATATTGTGGTTAAAAATTTAGCTAACAATTATTTTTATATTGAAATAAAAAATATGATTTTTTACGCAGCCATCTATTGAGCGCCACTTCGCCAAAATTATAAAATATTGGATTTTTTAATGTCTATGTTCAGATACTGTAGAAATTGTATTTAAAATAGCTTTCTTATTGTAATTTCTAAATTGAAATAAAAAATTAATGGCTGACATTAATTGGGCGCCACTTCATTCCAATTACTAAATATGGGATTTTTTGAAGGCCTGTGGTTCGAATCTGCAGAAATTGTATTTAAAAATGTTCCTTATAATTATTTTTAAATTGAAATAAAAAAATATGATTTTCTACTCTCCCATCAGTTGGGCGCCACTTTACCCAAATTACCAAATATGGGATTTTTTAATTGTCTGTGTTCAGATACTTCACAAATTTTCATGAAAAATATTTCTGATAAATATTTTTAAATTAAAATATTAGGAATTATTTTCTACTCTGCCATCAATTGGGGGCCACTTCAGCCAAATTATCAAATATGAAATTTTTTTGAAGATCTATGTTCCGATTAAGCAGGAATTGTATTTAAAAATGTTCCTTAAAATTATTTTTAAATTGGAATAAAAAATATGGTTTTCTAATCGACCACAAGTTGGGCGCCACTTTATCCAAAAAAATTAAAAATTCTACTTTTTTGAAGTTCGATGTTTAGAAATTGTAATCAAAAATGTTTCTTATAATTATTTTGAATTTCATGGACCCCACATTGGGCGCCACTTTTGTTTAATATTTCCATTAATTTGGCGCCACTTTACCCAAAAAATGAAAAATTCTACTTTTATGAAATTCGGTGTTTAGTTTCTTCAAAAAATGTTAATTAAATAGGTTCCTTTCAATTATTTTGAATTTAATGGACCCCACATTGGGCGCCACTTTATGTTTTTTTAAATATTTCTTCTTCAAATTTTTTAATTTTTCTTTCTTGTTCTTTTTCCAGATTCCTTTGTAAATAGTCAAGAATGGACGATATCACGTTCGGTGCCCGATTTGCGTTTGGGCATTGTCGGTTCCCTGAATTCCGGTAAATCCGCCTTGGTGCATCGTTATCTAACCGGTTCCTATATGCAAGAAGAATCACCCGAAGGCGGTCGCTTCAAAAAGGAGGTATTCATTGATGGCCAAAGTTATTTGCTGTTGATACGCGATGAAGGTGGTGCACCCGAAATGCAGGTAAGTTCCGAACATGAATAAAAAAACAATTATAAAAAAATACAAAGGGAAAAAATCAGATTTTTAAAAAAAAGAAGGGGGAAAAAGGGCATTTGGTCATAAAAAATTTACAAATAGAAAAAGTCATTTTTTGGAAAGGAGAGGGAAAGGAGGATCGAGAAATCATCAAAAAAGTATAGTTTTTATAGAAAAATGAAAGGGGGAAATGGGTAAAAAATAGACCTTGCCAATCTGGCAAAAATTACAACGAATTTTTGGCACAAAACCGGGAGATATATTATTTTCTAATTGAAACTTCCACACGTTCCGCATGACATCTTCTCATTTCTTCCCACTCTCCCTCGTGCTCTCCCACATTTGAAATTCTTAATTACAATTCTGGTGGAAAAAATTGTTAAGGGGTTTTAATTCCAAAAACGTAGAGTGGTTTTATTTTCTTATTGCCTATAATGTGACCCCTATTCTCTCACCCTCTCACAACCTACCTCTCATTTTTTTCTTTCTTCCAATTTTTTCTTCTTTAACAATTCCTTGACTTTTTATTGCCATTATTATTATTGTAACAATTTTCTTTTAATGACACTTTGTCAGCCAAGGTGAAAAAACACGCACTATTTCTATTGCCCCTAAAAGTATACTATAGAATATATGTAATTTATTGTTCAACTTACCCCATAGACGATAAAAATTAACACAAAATGTTAAACTGTTTTTTGGGCCACAGATGGCCGAGTCTTTGGGTAAATGAACTTTTAATAGAGAAGAATTAAAGAGAGAGAGAAGGAGGTGGAACAGAACTGGCAAACCCTAAAAGCCTGCCAGTCACCTATTAATACCTTGGCAAAAAATTATTGGCCATTAACATTTCACAAGTAAACATTAAAGGTTATTTTTTGTTAGTGAACCTGGTACTCACGTACACCCATAAAATTGTTGTTTAAAGTATACTTTAAGGCGCAACGTTGCCATTGAAAGCAGGTGACTTTCCAAACCCTTAATGAATATTTAAATAATTTTTTTCTGTTACCTTTTTTCTCGCAACTCAATTTACACTTTGTTCAAGAACAATAAAAAAACTATTGCATACTTTTAGGCTCTTGGCATTATTTATTTAGGAGGAAAGGCAAATTTGCCATTAAAACGAGGCAGAATAATTGTTCCCCACTACCCTCCATATTAAATATGTAAATTATTTGTTTCAACATTTTTTGTTTATTTTTCTGTTTTAGTTTTTGCTTTAAGCGCCTAGAAATATGCAAATATATTTTTGTGTTTTATTTTATTTATTCAAATTCTTAAATTCTTTGACAATAAAAATAATTTGCATATTTTTTAAAGGGGTGTTAACAATCTCATTTTTCGATTTTGGTGCAGCAAATAATTTGTCTGTTTCGTTTATCTCTTGAATTATGCAAATCCGACTATTTCTGCAACAGCAATATTTATGATGTGTAACCAAATGGATTTATGGTGGATTTTTATTGCCCATTGACAAATGGGGTGGCAAAAGGGTATGATGACATGCATTCATGCATGCACATTTTTTTATGGAACGCGTGCGGATTTTTTATGCTTGCACCCTCTAACGAGGCATACACAGTTAGTTACCTTGGTAATTGCCTGTTAATATGCCCATTAATTAGAATTTGATTTGAAACCATAAATTTGTTTGCCTTTCTTTATTGAATTTGGAATGGTTTTGAAAGATTTATTGCTGTTTATTGGAAACACACACAATTTCGTTATGCTTTTCACCTGAATTCAAATGTCCTTTGCAAAAGGATATGAAAAATAAATCAATTGATTTGAATAAATAAAACTAAAATATTAATTGGTGGTTAGTAATGATAATTTAGGGGAGGTAGGGGAACTTTAGATTTGAAATTAAATTTATTTAAATAATTTATTTATTTGGAAGTATCTAAATAATATAACTTAGAAGGGCCTATTTAATCCACTACAGTCAAGTTTGTATCATTTACTGTAGTATCTAAATAAAAATCTAACTGAGAAGGGCCTATTTAACCCACTACCGTCAAATTTGTATCATTTACTGTAATATCTGGAACTTCAAGCATGTGCTTGAACAAGCTGACGAATCAAATTTCAATAGAAAATCATTAAAAAACGTATATAACATATTTTAATTTAATTTATATAAAAATAAATTATACCCTATTTTTTAATTTTTCACATTACAAGCATATGCTTGAACAAACAAAATTTATTATTTTTTTAAAAATTTGAACCACATGAAAATTTTTTGTGAATTTTTAAATGCCAAAATCAATATTTTACTACTCTGAGTTATTTTTAACATGTCAAGCATGTGCTTGAACAGCCAAATTTCTATTAATAAGTTTATGTTGTATTAAAATAAGTAATATTACAATTTCTTGTGATTTAAAAACGCTAAGCATGTGCTTGAACAGTTAAATTCCTATTAAAATGAAATAAAAATTAAAAGGAAAACATTAAGTTTAATTTATATTATATTAAAATTAATATTTAATTTTTTTTTTTGAAAATATTAAAGTTTCAAGCATGTGCTTGAACAATTAAATTTCGAATAAAATTAAATTAAAACCACAAACAAAACATTAATTTAGTTTGCACCACATTAAAATAAGTAATTAGACATTTTTTGTGATTTTTAAAGTGTCAAGCATGTGCTTGAACAGTTAAATTTCTATTAAAATTTAATAGAAATCACAAGGAAAACATTAAATTTGATTTTTATTTTATTAAAATACGAATTTTTAATGTTTTTGTGATTTTGTCACATGTCAAGCCTGTGCTTGAACAATCAGAATTTCTAAATTTCAATAGAAAAAATACTAGAAAGGTTATTTATTTTTATATTTATTTTTTATATTTATTGTTTATATTTATTTTTTATATATTTTATAATATTTTTAAACAATTTTAATGACTCAATCACATGCTTAAACAACCAGAATAAATAATTTTTTTCACAAAAAAATCACAAAAAATAGTTTTTGATAAAAACGTATATATTTTCTATATTTTTTAAAGAATTTTTTTTTAATTTCCATCGATTTCATACAAAACAAGCACGTGCTTGAACAAACGACAATTTTTTTAAATAAAAACTAATAAAAAAATTCTAAATTATTTACTTGAAATATAAAAAATTATATTTAAAAAAAATATTATTTTATTTAAAAATTCAAACTAATCAAATATATATTTTTTCAAAAAACTTGAGAATGTTTGAAATATTTTTGCCCTGCATTTTTGCACGGAAATAAAAATTACCACCCCCCTACATAACCCCCTTGTTGTATTTACAAATTCATACCAACAAAAACAACAGCCATGTTTATCTTTTGTGTAATAAATATTTGTGTATGGCCAACAAAACGTGCCAAGAAGAAAATCAACAAGAACAACAACAAAAACAATAGCCATATAATAATGAAAGCTAAACAACGAACACACAGCGATAGAGAGAGAAAATGTCATAGAAAAATTAACAACAGACCATGAACAAAGAAAAGACAACGGCAAAACAAAACTGTAACAAAAACGTGACATTTAAGTTGTAGAAAAAATACGATGGAGAAGGGTGAGTGGCGATGAGGGGGTGGAGAGGTGCAGGGTGGTTAGATTAAAGGAATGTGCATGAGGCTATGGAAATTTGTAGAAATTGTTGGTCATGGGGAGAGTGTAAAGGCGAGAGAGACAGAGAGTGCCAGCCAAAAGGAGTGGGCTAATTTGGCCACGAATAGTTTGAATAGTTCGTTCGGAGATAAGGATCTGAGTAAGGATATTCTTTCGTTTAAGTGGTTTTAAGCCCTCTTAATGAAGCTATTTTGTATATTTGGTTTCCTGCCTTATTTTCAAGTAGCTCGATAAATAACCATTTCTGGTGTGGGTCATTTACATGTGATTGTGTGTGTGTGCCTTCTTATTGACCTAATTTAAGTGGTTGGCCTTTTTGAAGTGCCTTTTGTGGAAAAGCTGTTCACACTTTTCTTCCACGTTAACTTGTTACACATTGTATCCACCATGAAGGTAAGGTAAATAAAACTAAAGTGGCCACAACTTTTGCTCTGGAATTAGGTCAAATATCTATACGGCACACAGCAAAAGACCAGCAGTTAAGGAACCAACAACCCACCCACCATTCATGGCATGGCTAAGTTTTCAAACTACCTTTTTTGGCCACAAGACTTTTATGCTATCATCCATGTCGGCTTTATGGCTAAGCTACATTAACAAATCGTGATTTGTTGTGGGGGTGGAAGAAAACCCACTCCTGATGTAAGCCTTAAGGCAGCAACAGTACAGCCACAGGTAGGTATAGCTGAGAAGACCTTAAGGATAAGTAAAACTTTTTAATAAGCTTTTCAAAAGAAGACGAAGAAACTTGTGTCCTGTAACAACATAATAATACATAAAATGGACTTCTTAAGTAGTTGGCAGAATAATATAATAACCAAGGATTTGTTGCTGGCAGGAGAGGAGAAATAAAAAGGACGAGTATGAAGGAACAAGGCCATGAGAGATATGAATTACAAAAGTTGTGTGGTTACAGTTTATGCTATGAGCTAATAATCTTGTATAAATATTTGAAAAGATTTATTTTTCTTTTGCTGGATTTTACACAACATAATCCACGACAAGATGCTGCCCCCTCCCTCGCACACCTTTCCTTCGCCCATCCTCCCCCATCATAAACATAGCATATTTTATATTATTTTAAGTGGCTTGTGGTAAATTTTCATAAAAATGAAGCCATTAAAAATTGTAATAAGCTTCAAGTAATGGCTTTAGAGATTTGAAAAAAAATTTAAAAAATGTTTTTTTTTATTTTAATTTCCAATAAGAAACGCTTAATTGTTTAGCTAAGCACTTACCCACACGAAAAAAGGGTTATGTTAATAGTCAAAAGAAAGCTTTCAAAGAAACATTTCGAATAAAAGGCAAATTATTTTTAATTGGATTTGGATCAAATAGTACAAACAAGCAAACCC